ATGTGGGTCATGGGGAAGCGCAACTGGTGAAGGAGTTACCGCAATTAAAACTCTGCCACGCGTGCCTGTGCACCGTTCTGGGCCTGGCCCAACAACGCCTTGCGCTTCTATGTGGCCAAGGCCCGGGGGCTCCTATTGGTGTACAAAAGTAGGGGCCCTTATGTACCCCTTTACTTGTGCACGGGCAGTCGTAGCCGGCCATGCTTGACGAAGCAGAGGAAGCAAAGATACAAGGTTGCCGAGGCAGCACTCAAGCCGGAAGCATAAAGAGCGAAGGGATAAGATGGGCTTCCCCCAGCAAGAGCCTTGCCGGGGCGGCCTACATGGCCCCGGCAAGAGCCTTGCTGGGACAACTTGCCCAACACCAGCAAGACCGCCACCCTTGAGCCTGAGAGTTATGACGCCATCGACAACATCAAGACCAAGGCTCGGGAGTGCCTTGCATGGTGGCATGCAGATCTTTCTGGAAACCAAAGGCCTGCAAGCCTAGATGAGAACCAGAAGGTGAAGACCCTCGGCAAGATCTTGCCGGGGACGATCGAAGACCCCCGGCAAGACCCTTGTCGGGGACGCTCACAAGCCGCCCTCCCCCTACCGGCAAGACCCTTGCCGGGGACGCCCACAAGATCCTGGCAAGGCCCTTGCCGGGAGCGTCTGCGGGGCCGAGGCCAGGCCCGCACTTGCCAGAGCTTCGCTGCCCCGCGCCCGTTCCGACGTGGCAACCAGCCTGCCAACCAGGCACGCACTTGCGTGGCAGCATGCGGCTTCTAGGCCAACCAGCCAAGCACCTGCGTGGTGGCATGCAGATCTTTGTGAAGACCCTGCCACCGCACCAGCTCAACAGCCAGCCAGCCAGCGTGGCGCTGCATGCCTCATCGGCCTGGACACGCGTCAGAGCAAGGCGAGGCGGCAACGGATGGGACGAGCTTCTTTACCGTCCCCGATAAAACAAGAGGACACAAAGTCGGCGCATTAAATGTGTTTGTCCTAGGACATGAGATAGATTTGTACATTGTACATACTTTCCACCTCCTGTGTGCCACTGTGGCAATTCCTTTGACATATAAAAGGAGGTCCGAGGCGTACTGAGGGGGAATTCGGACTTTTTGGACTAGGGATGCACCGCGGCTAGCTCAAGAGCTCAAGAACACTAAATACACACAAAGCAAGACTAGGGTTTTACGCATCGTTTGCGGCCCGAACCTGGGTAAAAATCCCCCTGAGTTGATCTTCTAGACCCGCTCTTTGCGCAGCCCCACGCCCCGCCAACCGTAGAAGGGATTCCGTCGAGGAATCCCATAGGTGTCGTTTCAGAACCCCGACACCTAGCCCTCACAAACTTTTTGATTCATTTACACACTGAAGGCTCCAAACACACTTAGCCGATCTAGGAGGCGCACACCCCTCCCAAAGTAACAAGATACACTTGCTTGGCAAGCGGTAGGAGCCGAACCGACCAACCAGGAAAAGCCATCGGGGCCGGATCCCCTTTCCCCTCTCCTCCCCCGCATCGCCCCCGTGGATGACCGGGGGCAATCACTAGCGCCCGGCCACCTCCCTTCCTTTCACGGCCCTCCTCCCTCGCTGCCGCCACGAGGAGCCGCCGGGCAAAGCCCGGCCAGCGTAGGTGGCAGCGGGGCCCTTGTGCTCTCCGCTCTGCGCATGCTGGCATAGGACAGCTGCTCGAGTAGGCGCTTGGGGCTGGCGCGGGGCCCTTCGTCGTAGAAACGGGCGAGTGGGTCACTGGCTCGTGCGGCTACGGCGGCACGGTGGCTGGCTGCTACCGGTCTTTGGCGCTGCGGCTGCAACGAGGTTGACTTCGGCGACGGCGTGCAGGTGGTTCCCTGGCCAGATCCGGCCAGATATGGCCCCAGGTGGCGTGCTCGCGGCGTGGGAGGTGGCTGGAGCTCCAGCAGGGGCTCTGGAAGGTGGTGGCGGCGAGAGTGGTCTGCTCCCGGCACGGATCTAGTGGGCGGGGGGTGTGGGCGTGTCGGGTTGTGCGTCTTGCCCCTGGCGGTGGCGTGCTGGTTGTGTGCAAGCCACCTTTGGCGCCTGCTATACAGCGGGCGGCGCTGGGTGGTGCCGGTGTCCCGTGCGGGTTGCTGCGGTGGGCGTAGTGATGGTGGTGCGATCCTGCAGGGTCCTCATCGTCCCAGATCTGTCGGCATGGTTTCGGTAGGCAGCGCAGGGCGGTGGTGGCGCCATTCCTTCTCCTTGATCCAGACCGTGGGCGTCTTGGATCCAGGACTCGCACTCGGGCGGACCAGTTCAAGGCTCGAGGCGGGTCAAGGGTTCTTACTCTGGGTAGGGATGGTGGGCTCGGTCCGGGTGGTGTCCACGGGCGAGGTCTGCCTCCTTGTGAGCACGGTGCGAGGTGGAGGTGGTCGTGACGTTGCTACTCCGTCGGGTGGATTGGCGATGATGGCCACGAGTGTGGCATCGTGAGTGCTTGCCTGGGCCAATGTCATAGGGATATGGTCGAGGCTTGCTTCGTGGTGGCCGCTAGCGGAAAAAAATTCTGTGCGTACGGGTTGTAAACTCCTCTCCCTGCGTACCCTGTGTGAGATGACGCCACGTGGTCCACCTCGCCATTTGACGATCCCCTGTGATCCACTCCCGTGCGCTGGCTTCCTCGGCTCGATCGCTCTCGGCTCCAGGAAACAAAGCCTGTGGCCTCACAAATTTCGGCTCGGCTGGTGGACTGGGCGCACGATCCCTACCCCATCTGCACGAGAGCCAGCTTCAGGCGGCGCCGCATCCCTTGGCGCAGTCGCCGCCGCCCCCGCACTCGTCTACATCGTTCGTCACCGGCTGATCCTCGGCAGCCAGACGACGTAGGTGCATCTCCAATTCCCTTTTTCTTCTGCTCGCCGCCGCTCCCCTTCTCTCATGTTGATTGCTTTTTGTTTCTAATGTCAATCTGTTTCCTTCTAGTGTAAGTGGTCAGCATTACCATTTCATTAATCACTTTTCAGTACCTTAGCTGCCAGGAATCGTTGGTGTGAGCAGAACAACCTTGATGATGTGTAGCAACGCAAGATTAATATTGCCTCACTGTCTAATGGATAGTACATGTATATAATTCACTGTCTAAACTGAACAAACTTGTTAATTCATTCTTTGCAGAAGAATTGGGAACCACTTCAGAATTGTGATTCTCTAATTAACGGCACATGAGCTATGGTGATGAGGTGGAAAGATCAGGAACAAGCTGAAGCTTTAGCTATAAGACATGCTTTGAACTTTGCAGCAGAAGCATGTTTTCAGAAAATGGAAATAGCATCAGATTGCTTGTCGTCGGTCAACAAGATGAAGAACGCAGAGCAAGAAAGATCCCATACTAGCTAGCATCATAACTGATGATATCATATGTAAAACAGTGAAATTTTTTGTGTAGCTTTCGTCATGTAAATATGCCTTGTAGAGAAGCAACTAATGTTTTGGCAAAATCAACCAAACATGATGTAGCCTCCTGCTGGTATAATGAGTACCCTGAGATTGTGAGGGCAAATTTTGTAAATAATACAATTTCAATGAATGAAAGCTAATGAAATGTCCATCTGACTTCTTGCGAAAGATCTGCATGTGTGTTATCTGGATGTCTTCATAAATCTGTAGTTACAAAATTCTGATTTTTTTTTCTCTAGTTTCTCTACTTTGCTATTCAACTATAGCAAAGATGCTATCTTTTTTTGTCTAGGCCTAAACTTCATATGAAGTCAGGCTAATTTTTTCACTATGAAATCTGAGAACCTCTTCGCACAGGCAATATGAAAAATACTTGTATTGCAAATAAATAAGCACTCCCAAAAATTTGAAACTTTTACAAGAGTTTTGCCTCTGTATAGCTGCAACTTTATAGTTGATGATTGATGCAGGGAAAAACATATAGCTCATGAAAACCTCAGCAAGAGGAAGCCTACTCAATCTGTTTGCACGCAGAAAACTATATTTAATAGCACTAAAGTCCTGGTAGAAATCCAAAAATAATGAAATTTGGCAGCATCAATTAGTTTTATCGTAAAACATTGTGAAGACAAAATCTGCTATGCTATAGTGCATTAGTTACAATTGATGGATACGCCAAATTGCATCCAGAAGATCATACTCCTGGTCATGCCAAATACTATTCATTGAAATGTAATTTTCTAACAGATGAGGACAACGTGGCATCCTAATAAACTCTAGATAAGCTCCACGACCGGCGACCGCGTCGTCCTGCTGCTCTCCTTCGGTCATGGCGGTTGTACAATCCTCTTGTTCCCCTCCTTGTATGACTTGCGGCAGCGACAAGTTCAAGGTCGAGGAGCAACTATTCTCATCAACGAGGTTTATGTGATGCAAGCCGGAAGAAGCTAGAAGCAGCATGGTCATCCTTGGAGGCGACGGTGTCAGATTCCGCCATGGCAACTCCCACCCTTCTCCACGGCAGTGTCACTTCAGAATGCGGCAGCCCAACCCGCGGCGGCCACGGATGCCGTTCCGACCCGATCCGATCATATGCGAAGGAGAGGACGTGTTCAGGCGGGCAGCAGAGATGGCTCCAATTTCGTCCGTTGCAGTGAGCGCCGAGCCGGCGAACTGGCGCTAGTACCATCGCGTAGATGACAGTGCTCCGGTCGCTCGGCCATGAGGAATTCACGATCAAATCGCCGCTGCACCAAAGTAGCAGAAGCTAGCAATCCTCATGTGTATCTCTTTGGAATCAATCGCTGCGTAACTGACGGGAGTCGGGATCATACGTACATGACTAATTTCGGAGCCGAACGCAGGGGCTGCTGAGCCGAGAGAACGATACAACAGAGCTTCTGAAGAGGGAATCGTCAGATGGCGAGGTGGACCACGTGGCATCATCTCACACAGGGTACGCAGGGAGAGGAGTTTACAACCCGTACGCACAGAATTTTTTTTCCGCTACCGGCCGAGACGAGAGCCGGCGCGACGCGAGCCACTCGCTCACTCGCTTCACAAATCCACGAACCTTAGCTCGCCGTCCGGCCATGGTCGCTGCATCCGTCGCGTCGACCTCCACCCCCGCCGCGTACTCGTCCTTGGCTCCGAACCCGACAGCGCGTGACCCGGTTAGGACTAGGAGGCGCACTACTCATCCACTTGTGGCAGCCACCAATCGCCACGTGCACGGCCGCACTGTGACCAGTCTCCGCCAGATTCACCCTCGCGACCACTTTGCGAACCCTCCGCGGCCCGTATTCGTGGCGTCGGCGGCGGAAGCGGAAGAGATGGCCGCGGAGGCGAGTACTCCGGCGCCGGCCGAGGCCAGCGCGAAGCCCTTCGCCGTCCTCTTCGTCTGCCTCGGTAAATCCCGCGAACCCTACTCAATCCCCACCCCTGGGCGGGCGTCCGTATCACGCCAACTGATTCGAGTAGCTTGCTTTGAATACCCGTCTGGTCTCGCTGCTTACGAATGCTTGTGCGTGCGAGCATCCGTGTACTGCGTTCGCATCGTGCGTGTACGATAGCCTGGGTGCACATCACATGAGAATCGGATTTCTTGTTTCCATGATTACCGTCCCGACGTTCCATTTGTTTCAGTCTGTCTCCCTGTTGTCTTGTTCTCATCATTTTGGTGTCGCAGCATGTGGCGACCGCTCGACTTGGTAGGTGCAAATGTGCAATCACATCATGTGATCCCGATTCCATCTTATCTCTATGTTAGAGATGGTAACGTTTGCTTTCTGATTTTGTTAGTATGTGTGCATGAGCATGCTTAATAAGTGTACATACATGAACTATTGTTTATCTTTTTTTTTTATCTCTGTGCGATTGAGGATAGTTTCATTACACCACCTTACTTTGGCTTAAAGCATTTAGTTGTTATGCATACATGCACTATATTTATCTAATTTCCTGTGCTTGATGTATGATGTATGTTCAGGGAACATTTGTAGGAGTCCTGCAGCTGAAGCCGTCTTCCGGAACCTCGTCAGCAAGCGCGGACTTGAGTCCAAGTTTCAGATAGACTCTGCTGGTACCATAGGTTATCATGAGGTTATATTCTACACTTACCTAGTTACCTTTCTCATGTGTACATTTAATCAGTTCAGTGACGGCATAAGAATTGACGATGCATCACATGAATTCAGGGAGATAAGGCCGACTCAAGGATGATATCAACTTCCAAGAAGCGGGGGATTGAGGTGACCTCAATATCCAGGCCTATCAAACCCTCAGATTTCCGAAATTTTGATCTTATCCTTGCAATGGACAGGCAGAATTATGGTTATCTCTCAGCTCCCTTCATTTGTGTTTCACAACCTGAGGACCTTTGTTGATGTATTGCCGCTTATAATGCACTTATATTTTGATCATTACGCAGAAGACATTTTGAGCTCATTTGACAGATGGCAACACAAGGAGACTCTCCCAGATAGTGGACCCAAGAAGGTTAGGTTTATAGGCTTTATTTTTATTGTGCAATCTTAACATTTTGCATATCCATCCTTGATCTACATAATTGTATGGCCATTTGTACTGTTAATGTTTATAGTCTTACCCTTGACCACAATGAATTGATGATATGGTGTGTCCATACCTTCTTTCTTTAAACGTAATATAAAAAGTGAATGAATGGGAACATTATAATTTATTCGCTGTTAATCACCAACTTGATATTTCTGGAAATCCATTAGCCTTGTACCACTTCACCAGCCTTGATTTCATTTAAACAATGCCTTGCATGCTTGTTGCTCCCAATGATGTTTGCTTTTTTTTTTTCCAGGAGCTTGCCTGGTTAAATATGTCTACAGTTGAGATTTTATTTACTAATCACTCTCTTTGCTCTGTAATGGGGATAGCCACATAGATGTTGGATAAATTGTTTAGGCAATAGATAATTTAGTTGTCTGATAACGCATGATGTGTTGCCTAGATCTTTTTTTCTTAGCTATTTTACAAAGTACTCCCTCCGTCCCAGAATAAGTGACTCAACTTTCTACTAACTTTAGTACAAAGTTAGTATAAAGTTGAGTCACTTATTTGGGACGGAGGGAGTAAGTTGGTTATCTTTTGCTTGTATTTGACAATCTGACGAACATTGTGGGTTTTAAGTGGTCAGCACAATATATTTGGTGATGCTGTTATTCATGACTCGAAATTCACATATTGATTTGTTTGGTGGCATCCTTACTAGGTTAAGCTGATGTGCTCCTATTGCAAGCGGCATACGGAGTCTGAAGTTCCAGATCCTTACTATGGAGGCGCTAAGGGATTTGAAAAGGTGAGCCAAGGACACCATGCGCTTGCTCGTCAGTATCATGAGTCTGCACTTGATTTTTCAGTCCCTTTTTAGTTTATAATTATCCCCAACTGGCATCAGCCTTGATATGTGCATGAATGCACATAAGCATAGTAGCTAGCATTAGTCAGGCACAGCCCCTATGTTAAACCATCATCTTAGTGGCTAATGACCATACTGTTCATGAGCTTGTCTATGTATTTCTAGAAATTCAATATAGCTAATCAAGTTAAGTTCAAGTCCAACGAAAGTAATATTCTACAACAAACAACTCATTTATTTTGAGGCCAACTCACTTCCTATCTAGGATTTTATTTACTAGTTCTTTACATTCCAATGTGTCAATCGTCAAATGCTTTGGCAATTTCCCTGGGTCCGGTGAAGCAATATAATTTTCAACCAGACCTTTTGATCTTTGGTTATCCTCCGTAGTTATGATGTCTCGGGGTTTGCAACAAAAACTTGGTATATTGACTATAAGGCCATTAAATAGGCGCTTACAACACACTCACGTGCCACACATAAGCACTAAGCTACTAGTAAGTTCTGGTGTTAGTGACACCTGAAGCCAGGACGCACCTGATGTGCCCCACAAATGCGCCTGTGTGCTGATTGTGTGCAGCAGAGCGGCGGACTAGCAGTAGCATTCAGCTGCTTCCATGTGTTCCACCATACAGTGAGCATGGTCACCGAGGATGAGCCTTTTTATGTGATGGTGGGGTGGCGTCGACAGCTGACTGCCATGAGCCGCCAAACTCATCTCCAACATGCTGGCATTCACACCTTCAGGCTTCAGCATATATCAAGCACTGGACTTCCTGTCCAGCAATTTAGCCGCCCCTTGGTTCTAATGAAATTGCGGTATTCTGTCTAAAGAACATTTAAGTGAATCATCTTTGAAACGAAGATGCAGCTTAAGCTACTGCACTGGGCATAATATCCAGGTATTATGTGCACCTACTTGTAAGTCGAATATAGTAAAGCGTGAAGATGCTTATTTTAACACATTAAGAAAGCGAGACTGTCAAGGGCCTCAGTGCCCAAGACAGCGGGGCCTCGACTACGTAGTTCGTAGTCTCGGTGGATAGGAGCGCTAGGGTTTTTGCCTGGCTGCTCAATGGTGCGGGAGGAGAGGATAGGAGACGGAGGAAGAGGTAGGAGATAATAACTTTATTGCTTGCCCTCAAAGGGTGCTGATTATACGATATATAAAGGCCCCATGGGCTGCTAACAAACTAGAAACCTATACGTAACAAACTAGTCTTTTATTCTAGGAACTAATGTATCAGGACCAGGACTCCTGCCCAACCTACGCCTCACCTGATGCGGCCGACGGCTGCTGCTCCTGGCCGCGTGGCCCACGCCTGTAGGACGTGCCCCACATGACATCTCTCCCCCCCTCGACGAGCAGCTCGTCCTCGAGCTGAAAAGCGGGGTAGCGCTCGACGAAACTGTCAAGATCCTCCCATGTAGCTGATGATGCTGCTTCACCCTTCCAGTGGACGAGTAGCTGGCGAACGCCGCGTGCTAGGCGCGCACGAGTCACGCGCTCCGGTTCTGGAACAGCCGCTCCGTTGTGGATCGGAGGCAAACCCGGCGGTGCAGTTGGAGGCGTGCCGAAGAACTTCTTGAGGAGGCCCACGTGGAACACGTCATGGAGGCGCGAGCGTGCCGGAAGCTCAAGGCGGTAAGCCACGTCGTTGACGACCTCTGAAATGCGGTACGGCCCATAGAAGCGTGGCTTCAGCTTGCCCCTGGTTGGCAAGTTGAGAGAGGACGCG